ATGTTTTTTTTCCATGCCAAAGTGCTATGTGAATAAAGCTTTACCTACTTACGTTCTTGCTTTCTGCAGGAGGAACCCCCTACCCTGATTTGCCCATGAATGAGTTGTTCTACAGCGCTTTGAAGAGAGGCTACCGAATGGCCAAACCTGCACACGCCTCTGATGAAGTGTGAGTCTCATTGTAACCCTGCCATATACAGTATGTCACCTCTGAAATAACTCAGACATGAAAATGTAGAATAAGAAATGAACTGCATGTTGTCTCTGTTGCAGTTATGACATCATGAAGAAGTGCTGGGACGAGAAGTATGAGACAAGGCCCGAGTTCTCCTTTCTGGTCCACAGTGTTGGGAACATGCTGGCAGACAGCTATAAAAAGGTACATCTACAGCTTCTGAAGTGTAAGCTTGGGCTTTTAACTCTACACCACATACTCCTAATCTTCAAGTGTTATTTGGGTGAGGTTATCTACCAATTAATTCATCTACTCAGTCAGCCTATCTGCCTCCCAGTGGCTGGTTGGAGGACAAAAAGAAAACTTCAGTTCACGAAGTAGACACACTGTCTACCAGTTTGATTCCTCACTGATTCTTAAAGTAGATAAAAAGTGAATAGTGTTGTAAGCTGTGAAGTAACATCCTTTGTGCTCAACGACTCATATCTGCACTTTGCAACCTCAAGCTCCCAAACTGTTGACTAATTGATTTGTCGTTAAACTGTTGTCCCCTGGCAACAGAAATACAGCCAAGTCAACGACAACTTCCTGAAGAGTGACCACCCGGCAGTCGCCCGCACCAAACCCAGACTCTCCTCTCCTTTTCCGATCGCCAACCCAGCATTCGGCACCCCATCCCCCCATTACATCCCCCCGGACCCCTACAACCAGAGCCTGAGCCTTGGAGAATTCAGACAAGAGGCAGACACACAGGAAGTCATAACTTCATACAACGAATACATCATTCCCATCCCCGACCCCAAGCCGGAGGACATTTTCACTGGCGTGCCGCCAGAAAGCCCTGCAAGGTACGGAGCCGCTGAAAAACATGCTGCAGAGATGTATGCCAAATGCTGGGGTAGCAAGAAAGATGAGTAGGCTTAACAAGAGCAGTGTTTTTTTCCACCACACACCCACCCATCCAGATGTTGAGCTGAGACAATAGCTGAATTATGGCGCCAGATATAAACATACATTCAAATAAAGGCCAAATAAACGTCCGACCTCATGAAATCCAGATATATTTACGTACAGAATCACAGTTTTTTCCAACCATAACTCATAATTAACTTGGATTTAGGTGTTGTTTAATAAGTGTGTTGAAAGAGTTTGGGAGTATTAGCAGATTCCAACCCTGTCTTTTGGATTTTGGCAGTGATTGTACCTTAAACATTGTGGTTTGGGTTTGAGGTGTTTTTCGAATCAGTGTTGGTGATGAGCCACAGGCAGACGGATGGCGAGGATGTCATGGACACATCAGGCAGCATCTTAAAATCAAAATACTCACTACATGGGCCAATCAATAACAAGATTATTCAACAGTCAGCTGTCTAATTTCCGAAAAACAAATAATTGCTGTTATCATTTTCTAATTCATTTTTAGCAACTTTCAAAATCAATTAGCTGCAGCCCTATTAATGGCCTGTCACAGTTCAAGGAGCTGTATTTAACATCCAGAGCATAAATATAGCAGCAGACCTTCCTCTACGAAAGGAAAGTAGATAATTCCGCCCCACAATTCCTTGCGGTGGCAACATTTAAAGTGACGCACCATTCCGGCGTCCATGAAAAAAAACGATATGCTTATCTTACACAGGGTTTAACAAATACTCATACAGTCATAAACTAATGATTCATATTGATGAATATGAATAGACAGTGACAATTCTTATGTATCATTTCATTTGTATTTATTTACTTCGAACATGTAACAAATATGTTTTGAAAAAAGAATACGAAATACAATGAACAGTAAATATAGCAAACTGTCAATGAACAAATTCTCAATAACAAGAACCATCCGTAAAAACAAAACAAGCTAGGCCTATGATAGATTATTAAACTGGTAAAAAGCTAAATATAACCGAACCGTTGAATCCACATCATTGCACAAAGGAAATATTGATGTTGAACAGTTTCATTAATATTGCACACAAGTGAATTGTGAACTGAAGCAGTGTTGGTTGTTGTGTGACAGCAGCAGGAAGGAAGGAGCTCCGGTTTCTGTTCTTTTACCCACCATGAGTGAAACAGCCTCTCACAAAAAAAGCTATTCATAAAGCCTGCATGTAATTTACTAATAGGTTATGTGGGGTTATGTTTTAGTTGCGCTTTTTGTCGTCTTTCTTCATTGTAGTTTCGCGGTGGCAGACCTACGTCAGTGACAACTGCCGTCGCTTCATAATCATGTAGCTTAGCTTATTGTAGTCAGATTCTCTAAACACCACGGTTGTCTTTTCCTAACTCCTCATGAAGATCCCTTCGTTGCTTTGTAATGCATATGTGATACTTGACTTCTTGCTTTACTGGGCTTTTACAAAGACAACAAAGTAGTCCATGAATATGAGATATGAGTTTACAGTTAATTACAATCCCTCCTGGGCATTGTGGAGGTTGATTTATGGCTTTTTGACGGTTACACTTGTCTTTTTGATTCTTCACAGTTCATTTTGTTTGTACGCTTTTTGCCATATCGGAGAATAATGCAACAAACAGCGCATTATGCATAAACGCCTTTGTGCATGCTCGGAGCTTGCACGCCATCTGCAGAGGCTCACGCTGCGATGCAAAGCATGGGAATAAACAAAGCTTTAGTGCTGCATCGTCAGCTACGAGACGCCGGCTCGCCATCGACATGTTCAGGGCTTTTGAGAGGCATTAGAAATGCTCCCAATGTTGTATCTCACACTTTTAAGACAATTGAGTTTACGTTACATCACTTATAATAGGCAAAGTTGATCAAATAAAAAAACAACAACGTTATTTATAATGTTGAACCGTTACTGCCTAACATCCTAAAGAATTAAGAAGTGCTGCGACTTGTATTGTTGATTACTGAGAACATTTTTAAATCGACCGTGGCTCGCTGGGTTCAGAGGTTTGTCTGATAACTGCAAGGTCACAGTTCGATCCTTGGCTGGGACTGTTCTAACCAGTATTCAGTTCATGTTCAAAATAGTACACAGGAAGTGCTCATCATTTCCATACAAAGACCTGCATTGGAAAAACATTTCTAACTCTTGAAAATACGGAAGAACAAAGCATTTAAATGTTCTCAAAATGGGTGAGTTGTTTAGTTGTGACTTGTGGTTGCTGGAAGGAAGATGAAGGAAGACATCAGGATTTATTATAAATATTAATAAATACACATGGTGTTGTGTCCTTCTCTAACTCCTATGTGACTGAGTGCACAATGTGAAGTTGTGTTTTGTCTTCCCACCCTCAGCTCTCTGGCTCTGGAGGAGGAGACCGACACCATGTCGCAGGACACCGCTGACACTCTCCCAGAGGAGGACAGGCTGGAGGAGACCAGTGAGAGAGACACTCTGCTGAGTTTTCCTGGGACACCTGAGGTAGAAGACAGCTTCTTGTAGCCACAGAACTCTGAGAAAAGCGTCCCCTTTATTTTTTAACCTTCCTGAAAAAGGGAACGTGACTAAACTAGAATGTAGCAACATTGAGACTGAGAAGGAAATCTTTGTGTTTCCACTAAGCACTCGAAAAGGTTTGCCCTTCTTTTGTATCAAACTTAGTACCTCTGAAGCTAAAATAGTTAATGAGCCTGATATTATCATTCAGTCATTTATTAGACACTTAATATAAATACGGTACTCTCTGTAGAGAATCAGTTTCCTCTAATGTGTGTACTGTATTTTCTATTGTAGCCAGAGATTTATGAGGCCTTATAAGATATGTGCTTGTCTAATTGGTTATACACAGTATATACAAAATACTGTCCAATCAAGAACAATATGTAATTCCCATATTAGTGAGCATCATTAACATTATATAATAGACCACATTCAGCCATGGCAAGTACGAAATTGGATTTAAACTTTGTGTTGCATTGTTTTCTTAAGTACGACCTACAGCTGTATTCAATGTATTGTAACATTTCACAAAATGTTATTTCTAGGACGTGAAATACAGATGTGCACTGTTTTACTATGAAAAATACTTTATTTGTATTTACATATATGCCATAGTGCCAGACATATTCAGTTCTCTTTCTTTTTTTGTGAGAATTATATGAAATCTATCTGTCATTTGTGAATTTTGAATACTTGTTTTGCATAAGTTGAATTCATAGCTCTGTGCCAGATTTGCACTTTATTCAGAAAAAATGTGGATATTCATAACGAAGATATAAATATACTCTAAAATATAGATTTAAAAGTTAAACGGAAATCCAACTTTTGACTTAATTAAACATGTGGCTGTTACAGTAAATCAGTTTCTGTGGTGACAGGTGACTCTCAAGGGAAAAACACTAAATACAGCGTATCACTGCCTTAGCACAAGATGGCACACGTGAGTGCCTTTGTACAGACCTTCCAGCTATTGATGCTCGCCGATTATGGAGGGTTTTTTATGGAGGATTTAGTAGATATGAAGGGCTGCTGTACTCAACAAACCTACATAGCCTTATGTATACATGTAAAACTGATGCTTTTAGTCTTCTACTGCATTGTTTAGCAGTCACTCACACCATCTTTTAACTGTCAGTACTGTAGTATTGACAAAGGAACACGTTGTCATTTTCTGCTTGCAATTTAAAATGCACAAGATCACTGTATCACAAGCTATGGTACCAAAGCTCTTCTTAACGTTTACAAATGTATTTTTTTATATGTGCCATTTTGTATGTTGTAAATGTGACAATAAATGTGTATTATAGTAGCACTGGAAGTGTGAGTCTTCTGTGAATCATGAGAACCTAACGGCTCCCTTTTAGCTGCTATACTCTGTCTTCATCTAATTGTTTTTCACTGTCAAAACAGCTAAAAGATGACTTGTGTTATTATAGTAAACTTAAATATAGGCTTTTTTTAATCTCTCGGTGCTTTTTTCTGACTAGGTCAGATTTCTAAGAGCCCTTTGACTTTCCTTTCCTCTCCCACAATTCCACGCCTGAGAAGCCTGGCAGCTATGATCCAGCAGTGCTGGAGGTGATTAGTCTCACCTCAACGGATGTCTCAGGAGAATTGTGCCTTTCTGCGGTAAATTGGAACTGGCTCATTAATTTGTTGAGCGTGATATGCTGATCCGCCTCCACACACACACACACACACACACACACACACACACACACACACACACACAGTTCCCTCCACCCTCCACCACTTGCTGTCTGAAAAAAAAAATCATGTTTGCTGTGAGACTTCAGTGGTGAAGACACTGTAAACAAGTAGAAGGGAGAGGAAGAGCAGAGGCAAGCAGAAAGGGAAGAAGGGACTCTTGAGTCAGCTCTGGATGCTGGATCACACCCTGCTGGGGAGCGATCGTAGCCCTACATCTGACATCTGCAGGTGAGTGCTTTTGAAATAAAGGACTGGTGCATAATTTGTCCTCTGTACTTTGAGATGAAGTGACTCATCAATTCCCTAATTGTAATCGTGGAACGCTTTCTCAACATATTCTGAACGTTAGTCTGTTTCCTGATTTCAACGCACACTGAAGAAGATAAACATTGCAGAGGAATAGATTGCTGGTCAGCAGAGATTTGCAGAGCTGCTTTGACCAATCAGAAAAGTTGATGAGGGAGATGATTGATGGCACAATTTCAGAGGAGTTTTTCTTATTTCTCTCCCTAATGCCACAGATTTAAAGAAGAGTATTTAGTAGCACACAAACTTAAACATTCAAACTGCAGGTTTGGAGTTGATCCAGGATGCAGTCCTACCTCGCTCTGGTGCTGGGGATCGTGGCCTCTGCTGCCTCAGGTAAGGCCACACAAACGCTGACTGCCACATCTACAGCTGCAGTGGCTTTAGTGTCTTTTCTTGTCATTCCGGTTGTTTTGTGACAGCTACTATTGATTTAAACAATCTCAAATAAAACAATGTGATTGAAACAGGCATACTCATAGCATACAGAAGTGATTTTATTTTTTATTTTCATGGTGAAAGATGTTAAGTCTTTGATATGTAAAAAAAAGGTCCAAAAGGTTTGGATACGTTTTAGATGTATTCTTTATTAAATGACATATTTCTCTGCACCACAACTGACCAACTTATAAAAATACATACAGTAACATGACTTCTCGTGCTTTACGCTCTAATGATTTTATGGTACATTTCATGGCATAAACTCGTGCTCAATGCAGAGGAGCCAAGAAACACTGCATGCTTCTCCATCTGAGATCCAACACAAGCTTTCTTTCTCTTTTTTTCCATTTTGGTTCAGCTCTGAACACGACATATGTGAATATCACCCGCCAAGCATCAAATTGCAATTTCATGTATTTGCATTTGAGCACATAAAAGCATCTGTTGTTTGGTTTAATTATGGTTAAAGGAATTAATTTTGCCTTCTGGCGCATTACTGTATGTATTTGGGTCATGTTGTGGTTGGATGAATAGTTAATTTGGAGTATTGAACAGGGACTTTGAAGGAAAGGCAACTGTTTGCACTGACAGCCAGGAGGTTCAGAACTAAAACGCTGGTTTGTTTCATTCCTAGTTCCCCACATTATCTTGTGTGTCCAACAATGCTGAACATTGAATCTCAGTTCTGCTTCAAGCTTCAAAACACTCTGTCCAAACCTCTAAATAGACACTTTTGTAACCTTTTCCGAGGGCGTAGACTGAACTCTAAATAAGAGGCAGCTTCAGGTTAACAGGAAAGACATGTCCGTCTCTCCAGTGTCCAACTTGGACCACTTTTGGGCCTCAAGTGGACCTTGAGATGGCAAGACCTTTTTTTGTGAGCACTGGAGGGCGCGGACCAAACTTTTTTTGGCAGTAATAGTAACACTAATAGAGTTTTTTTAGCCCGTTCGCATTCCCAGGGCGTCAAATATCACACTTTGTGACACCACTCATCATCTGACACCGATGCACAAGGCACTCTAGTGTCTGCATCAGACCCCGTACCGGGATTTTAAGTAACTACAAAGTAAACCCATCCGCATCATTATTAGATCCTTAGAGAAAATGCTCCGGGAGAGTGATGAGGTAGTATAACGGCCAACAGAAAACAGAGACTAAGTAAAAATAGATGTAAAAAAGGAAGTAAGATGGACAGAAGGAGTTTCTCAGTGTCCACGTCTGATATTTGTTTCCTGAACTAATGACATTACTTCCAAAAACAGATCTGAATCATGGCACAAGCGAGACAGCTCTGCGTTCTCAGTTTAAAAAAAAATGAAACAGAAAAAATCTCTACTTAGGGAATAGGGAAACACATAATATATCAAAAGTACTGTCTGATAATTCCTAAAACGGAGTGTGTTTTGATTAACTAGTTCTCACTGTGTTTCCTTTGCCTAAAAAGTGAATGAATTAATTGATGAATGTTCCTTCTCAGCGGAATGGAGGCGTCCGGTGATCATGTTCAACTCTAAGGTGGTGGAAAGTTCTGAGTTGGTGGTCAGATCTGGGACCCCTCTGGATCTGAGGTGTGAGGGCGACGGGCCTGTAAACTGGCAAACGAGGTTAGCCAAACACAGACGCTTCGTGTCCAAGGGCAGCGGGAAAGTCCGCACCTTAAAGGTGGAACGCCCCTCTGCAGAATTTACAGGAACATACAAGTGTGTTTACACGACTGGGTCGAAGCAACTCGCCTCCTCAGTGCATGTGTACGTAAAAGGTGAGGACAGATAAATGAGAAGAGAACAGTAGGTCAAGCGTCCTTATGTTGACTTGTAAGTGCTTGGATGGAACATTGTCCACACTGGTTATTTCTTCTCTGTGATTGTTTATTAGATTCCCTCAGAGTAAATCTCACATTATTCCATTGCTCTAATGAATCGTCACCATGCCTTTCTTTACCAGATCCAAACCGTGCGTTCTGGACCAGCAGCACGTCCCTGCGGGTGGTGAAGAAGGAGGGTGAGGACTACCTGCTGCCCTGCCTGCTGACCAACCCGGCAGCCACAGACCTGGGCCTCCGCATGGACAACGGCACCTCTGTGCCACCGGGCATGAACTTTACAGTTTACCGGCACCGTGGTATTCTTATCCACAAGCTCCTCCCAGGCTTCAATGCCGACTATGTCTGCACAGCCAGGGTCAGAGGAGTGGAAATGATCTCCAAGGTCTTTTCCATCTACGTCATTCAGAGTGAGGCCACTTGGTTGTTGGGAATAACCACCCAAAGCTGTCACAGAGTCATTTTAAGTGATACATGCATCAAGTTTGATACTCATTAATGATTTCCTCTTGCTTTAGAGCTTCGTTTTCCTCCATACGTACTCTTGGAGACCGATGACTATGTGCGCATTGTTGGGGAGGAGCTCAAAATTTGCTGCACAACACACAACCCCAACTTCAACTACAATGTCACCTGGAAATACATCACCAAGTTGGTCCGTATGATGAATTTGGAGGGCCTTCTTGATTGTTGTGGTAATCGTGATTTTAACTCAGACTTGTATTTGCTCTTTTTGTCTTCAGAAACCAACTATAGAGGAGAGGGTTCACTCCAGTGGAGAAAATCGCCTGGACATACAGAGCATACTGACCATCCCGGCTGTGGACCATACAGACACAGGAAACATTTCCTGCATTGGCACTAATGAAGCAGGGGTGAACAGTTCAACGACATACCTGCTGGTTGTAGGTAAGCTACAGAAACAATTGCTCCTGCTATGCCTCGTAATGAAAAGCCTGGAACATTTAGCAAACTATTTTGGTTCTTCTAAACAGACAAGGCCTACATCCGGCTGTTGCCCCAGCTGTCCCCTAAACTAGCCCACCAGGGTCTTTCAGTGCAGGTGAACGAGGGAGAAGACCTGGAGCTGACCGTGCTCATCGAAGCGTACCCCCAGATTACAGAGCACAGATGGCACACCCCAACATCTCCAAACATGTCCACACAGGAGCACAAGCTCATCAGATACAACAACAGGTACAACACCAAGCCCGGTGACAATGGAGAGCATACCCTTTACGTCAAAAAGTGGTCTCCAAAAATATGTCAGCACAGTTTAAATGTAAAAAACAAAAACAATAAAGAGTACCGCAGCAAGGGGAAGCTACTCTGGTTTAGAAATATGCTGTCGGTGCATTTGAATCAAGTAAACAGGGTCCAAGGTCATTATATTTCCTCAGGTCATGCTAGAGGGAAGAGTGGTGTTCTCTTTTTAATCTGTTGACCTACTCAGCGATGATACATTGGAACTGTCTGAATTCACACTGCAGAATTAGTCACTTCAGATTCCTCTTTTTCTGAGTTAAAATATCCTTTTTTCCCCCCTTTTTTAAGATACCATGCTATGCTGCAGCTGAAGAGAATGAATGCACAGGAGCAGGGGAAATACATCTTCTATGCCAAGAGTGTCTTGGCCAATGCCTCCATCACATTCCAAGTCCAAATGTATCGTAAGTGAATTGTAAACACAAATCAAATACGTAAACACATTCATGGTGTTAAGTTCAATGGTCAGAACAAAATAGAGTACATGCTTCTTTGAGGTTAGTCTCTTTTTACATGTATTTTCTTCTCACTGGCAGAGAGACCCGTTGCTGTGGTGCGATGGGAAAACATAACCACGCTCACTTGCACCTCATTTGGCTATCCTGCCCCCAGAATCATCTGGTACCAGTGTTTTGGGATACGCCCTACGTAAGTATCCCTGCACAAAATGTCATTAGGTGTGGCATATTGTGCTTCAACTCACACTTTCACCCTCAACAATTGGTCATTTGCCTGACTGTATATGTTTTGCAATGAGGCAGGTGCAATGAAAACACCTCTGGGCTGCAGCTGGCGATCCCTCTCCAGGCTCCCACAGTGGAGGTCCAGAGGGAGGAGTACGGGGCCGTGGAGGTGGAGAGCGTCCTCACCGTGGGGCCAACCAGCCGGAGGATGACCGTCGAGTGTGTGGCCTTCAACCTTGTCGGCGTCAGCAGCGACACTTTTGCCATGGAGGTTTCTGGTGAGTATCGGATCATTTGATCATCATTTGTTCCTTTTTAGCTGTTATGAAACTGCATAGTTCTTTTGTTTCAATTTGTGAAGAAACAAGATACATATGTAAACGGTACACAACACCAGGGACATTAGAGAACATGAACTTGTATGACCCACAGTCAGTCCATGTAAGTTAAACAGTGAGTTCATGATCTATCTCTGATTGTGCAGACAAACTCTTCACTTCCACCTTGATTGGAGCAGCAGGCATTCTCGCCATCCTCCTTGTGCTACTGGTTTTTCTGTTATACAAATATAAGCAGGTAAGGTGAACCTACATCCATTAAAACATACAGCAGTTGAAGTTGTAAAATATTGTTTAGACATTCAAATATTTCCATAGGACATGGCTACTCAGTTGCTGTGTTTTTGTTGGTGTGGTTTACTTCCATTTGCTCCTTTTTTCATCTTCAGAAACCCAGGTATGAGATCCGCTGGCAGATCATCGAGGCAAGAGATGGAAACAACTACACCTTCATTGACCCCACTCAGCTGCCTTATAATGAGAAGTGGGAGTTCCCAAGAGACAAGCTGAAGCTAGGTCTGCACCATGTAATCATAAATTGACTCAAATGCACTCATTTTGAAACACTTTTGAAACAATTATTCGGTGCTCTGGAAACATAGAGTAGAATAGTGAATGTAAACATAATACGATTAGAAAGAAACATATCTGAAAGTTGATTGTGAAACACAAACAGATCTGATCTGAGCGGGTTATAGTCAAAATCCTTTCTCCTTGTATCTTCCGTCTGACCAGGGAAGATCCTCGGTGCAGGAGCTTTTGGAAAGGTCGTTGAGGCCACAGCCTACGGCCTGGGAATGGAAGACAATGCATTGCGTGTAGCTGTGAAAATGTTAAAAGGTGAGCCGATCTTAAGACCTTCAAGATTAAACAGAGAGATTGTTATTTACATGAGCGAGTCAGAGTGGGAAATCTGAAAATGTTCCAGAGAAAATGTCACTGAGTGAAATCCTTGTGGCGCATGATCAGATAGGATCACAATGACACATCTGTATTGTATTTCTGCAGCCAGTGCCCATTCCGATGAAAGGGAAGCTCTGATGTCTGAGCTGAAGATCCTGAGCCACCTGGGACACCACAAGCACATCGTCAATCTACTGGGAGCCTGCACTTATGGAGGTCAGACAGCAGCCTGCATTCGTTCTGTATCATGTTGGATGGAATCAGAATACAGCAAAAACATGTTTTTGAAAAAATCTAGTATATTCAAGTAATTTGCATGCAACCACGTTCTCCCTTGTTGAGAGGGTCATAACATGATTTCTTTCCTCATCAGGACCAGTGCTTGTGATCACAGAGTACTGCAGCCTCGGCGACCTCCTGAACTTCCTTCGTCAGAAGGCAGAGACGTTTGAGAACTTTGTTATGAACGTTCCCGACATCATGGAGGGCTCTAATGACTACAAGAACGTCTGCAGTGAGAGACAGTATATTAGAAGGTATACGTCACCAGACATGTGCAGTCTGATGACGGAGGACTTGTGAAAAACATTGACATTTCTGACACCTTTCTTCTCTTGTTTTCTCCATCCAACAGTGACAGCGGGATCTCCAGTACATCTTCAAGCAGTTACTTAGAGATGAGACCCAGCCAGGTGCCACATATCGAATCATCTCCAGGTAAAAAGCTCCCCCAATCCCGGTTTGAATCAACACAAATGCAGCATCATGCGAATGAAAAGCATCCGCCTTCCTGACCCTGTGTGTTACTAACATTATTCCCTGTCTTATTCTTGCTAAGACTCTGTGTGTGAGGAGACAGGTGACTGGCCGCTGGACATTGACGACTTGCTGAGGTTTTCCTTTCAAGTGGCTCAGGGCCTTGACTTTCTGGCAGCCAAAAACGTAAGTGATTTTACCACTAAGAAGGATCTAAATGAACACACCAGAAAACATTACCGTAAACATTTACAGTAGTAGCTGCTGTGTTGTCCCCCGGGAGTGGATATCGCCCACACAACAAGCAAAATCTTCAGGACAAAAAGGAACCAAATATGCATGAAAAAGTATTGCCTTTTATAGAATATAATGAATGAGTTTTGAGTTTTGAGTGAGCGGCCTATAAGGGGTATTTCCCATTACATTCTTTGTATCTATTGTCATAGTGGCAATGTATAGATTGCATTGAGATACACTGCTCAGTGATCTTTTTGTCTTTTGATGTGGGAGACTACAACCCGAGACAAACTGTGTGTGTGTGTGTGTGTGTGTGTGTGTGTGTGTGCAGTGTATTCATAGAGACGTGGCTGCTAGGAATGTCCTCTTGACCGACCGCAGAGAGGCCAAGATTTGTGACTTTGGCCTGGCACGCGACATCATGAATGACTCCAACTACGTGGTGAAGGGCAATGTAAGTCCCTGAGTACAATAGAGCTAAAGTTTACTTCACATTAACCAAGTTATAGTCTCCATAAAAAAAACACTTTTTGTGCTTTCTACGTTGTTCATGAAGGCCCGTCTGCCAGTGAAGTGGATGGCTCCAGAGAGCATCTTTGACTGTGTCTACACCATCCAGAGTGACGTCTGGTCCTACGGTATCCTCCTGTGGGAGATCTTCTCTTTAGGTCAGAACATGTGCATATGTACCCTACATTTACACAAATGTATTTCACGATTTGCTTGCTAAGCTTACAGTATATGATTCTCTGTCAGGCAAGAGCCCTTACCCCAGCGTGGCTGTGGACTCCAGGTTCTACAAGATGGTGAAGCACGGCTACCAGATGTGCCAACCAAACTTTGCTCCAGCTGAGATGTAAGCTTGATCCCTTAGCAACATAAAGTCTGGTTCTTAAAAAGATGAATCACTGCTGCTTTTTCCCACAGATGCCCTTTCTAACACTTTACTTTGTCCGGCAAATGTCACCTGATTATCAGTTGAGTTTCAGCAATAGCAGTCTTTTTATCCACTGGTAAAATGTTAGCACATTGCTTATCAGACTCTGACCAACACGTAGGGCAACTATTAACATTTAAGTTGAAATCAGCTTTAACTCTGACTGCTTTATATTAAGCAGTTGATCCGAAGTTGACTTCGATATTGAACAGTTCAAGTAGCGTTCTTCTCAAATGTTGATCTCGACAGAACAATGATCCCTTTGTCTTCTGCTCTAACATCTGAAATAAGTGACACATGAGGTAACCTCATGAAGTACTTTCATTATTCCTGATTTTAATTGATTTGCTTCGGGTTATCTCATAACCCCAAAACTTAACATGCCTAAAGTCCAAACTTAACAAGCAAAAATGAGTGTTTTTCCCAGTATCTCATAGGGCCCTATCATCTATATGTGCTGATTTAGCGTGGCTGTCACACCACCCGGAATAATTGTGGAAACAGAGGAGACTGAATCTGAGTCAGGGCTTAATCATCCGTTGTTCTGCTGTGTGTCAGGCCTCAGTTCTGCCTGTTAGCCACATGATCTCAAGGCTAGGACGCCATGTATCTGCTATTTCATGGCAGCAAAATGAGACTGGAGGGGTTCTTATGAACGGGTTCTTATGAACGAGTCTCTTATCAAACTGCGTCACCACCTCCATAAACCTCTCATTTGTCTTATTCGGTGTTTTATAGTTTCTTGATTTGAACAGTGCACAGTTTGAAATGTGTGCCATCAATGTTTCTTTTGTCCAGGGAACTCCTCTGAAGTCTGATTTGTAAGTATGGTTCACTTTTGTTTCAGCTACACGATCATGAAGATGTGCTGGAATCTGGAGCCCACAGAGCGTCCGACGTTTAGCAAGATCAGTCAGATGATACAAAGACTACTCGGGGAGCAACCTGAGCAGGAACAGGTGAGTTAGTGTGACGCAGAGTTCAGCTTTGCCAAAACTATGCATGTGACAAAATATGTGACGCTATACGGCAGAAATGTCGCCAGGAAAAATAAATCTTCCCTCAGAAACAACAGATTTAGCCGAGCTGTAAAACCAATTACATTTATTTATTTTTTTTTGTGGTATCATCTTATTTAGTGATGTTCCCACGGGAGATACGCACAAATTTAAAACATATATATTGTTGAATGCAATAATTTGTTCCCTTATCACACCATAATATTCAGATGAAGCTGATATTTTGCTTTATTGGATCTAGTCTCATCCTCCTAATGCTGCCTCCCCACAGCTAATCTACCAGAATTTGCAGCAGCAGGTCACAGAGGGTGAGGTGAGTGACGAGCCCAAGTGCTGCGACGGCCCCTGTGACCAGTCTTGTGACCACCAGGAAGAGGAGCAGCAGCCTCTGATGAAGACCAATAACTACCAGTTTTGCTGAAAGCCCTAGCTGCCAATCAATCAGTAAATGAATCATCAACAAGCATCAGGACATTGGGATCAGCTGTAGTCCTACGGTCTGTTCTAGGCGCCGGACAGTCGCAGACAGTCGCCTTCACGGCTATTTTTTGCCTGCTGTGCCTGCTCGGTATGAGCAGGCACATGCAGCTGCAGCAAGCATGTGACTTACTTCTTTGCAGACCATGACTAGTAATTACCACATCTAGGAGGAAGAGGAGGAAACATGTCAACAAACTGCACAAGCATCCAAAGCTGTACCTTATCCTAAACATCGCTCCTTCTGATATGTATTTCAGGTATAATCTGTTATCCAAAGGAGAATGTGTTCTTAATTATATATTGTGCACTGCGTTTATTTCTATTTTATATTACTTCCCCACGACACTGAATGTCTTTGTCGAGATTTCAGTCATAAACACTATGTGACTACTCAGCTTTATGTGCTCTAGACGAGTTAGGTTTTAGTCTCTGATCACCTTAGACTAATGAAACATCTAAACAGAGCGAGTGTTTTTCCCCTGTTTTAACATGCTGAATCAACCATTGAGAAGGCAAAGAATGACCATGTTGTTTCCCTCTCTGTGCTGCAGTCATAGCTGTATTTCTTGTGACTCACTCACAGCAGCTGTCCGTTGGTGGGAACATGTGATTGTTCCACTTCAACCTAGTTAATTAAGCAGTGCTCAGTGGGATTTTTGGAGCAGGGAACACAACTGAACTGAACGGGGAAATCTGTGGATCTGTTATGGATCAGACGAACAATGTTACATGACGATGTGAAATCCTTTTGTTTTTCTTTTTTTTGCGGAGCACAACTTAATCTTAACTTCCTGTAGATTTAGACGAGTGTTAGGATGTAAGCTTCACCGATGTCTATATGTAGCAGCCAGTCAGCCTACACTGCCAACTGTTTGAAGACTTTAGAGTAACATAAGCTATGTGAGAGATACACAGTGAGATGTCAGATAATGTATATATCTCATGATGTAAATCAAGAATTATCTTTATATTTGCTGGAATGTTGTAGAATAGATGGTAGTTCATCAATATGTCATATATGTGTTGTGTGGGTTTTTGTAACAGTGCAAATGAGACAATCAATGCAAAATCTGCAAATGAAATCGTTGAAAAAGGCTTTGAATGAAGCTTTACCTTTAAAACTTCAGAATGTAAAGTTTTTATATATACGACGAGATTAAGATGTGGTGCCAGATATTTCGAGTTTTTCTTTGTTGTACCTCACTGAGCTGATATAAACTGTGCTGCCTTTATGTTTATCTCTTCTTACTTCCCTTTTTTTTATTGGAGAATGTCCAATTTGCATTTCCTCTGGAACAATTCTCACAGTATCTGTCAACATTGCAACTCTGACATCTTTGTAGGGAAGTAGTCATCCCACCGCTCAGACTACAGAAAGTACAAATGCGTTTTCTCCGTTGTGTGGTTTCAGCTAAAATCATATTTGTTTTGAAGTAACCCACCACTTTTAGACACTTTATGGGGTGCCAAACATTCTATGTTACATTTTTAACAACAGTCTTTGTTCAGTTGTCCACCAAGAAACTGAGATATGACAAAGTTTGAGTAAAGCATAATAATCTCCACAGTGCCTTTGTTGCTCTGCCAGTATCCTCCTCTATCATTTCCTTTAGTTGCCTCAGAATTAATTATTTCTCATAACTGTGGCATTTTGTCCACATCATTTCAAAGATCTTATTAGCAACAGCACCGACACATATTCTTGGGCTTCATGTTGACGTTTCTCCTCAAAAAGATTTTTGTTATAGTTTGAAACATTTTCTGTTTTTCAGGAATGTAAAGCATAAATCATGAGCTCAACTGTACTGCTATATAATAAGTGAAGATTTAAACAGCAAATGTCTGTGTTTTGTTGGTTGTTAACTTTAATTAGAATGATATAAATTCAATTAAGCAGACCTGTTGATATTTTTTTTACATCAAGTAAGTTCTTCCCATACTTTCAGTAAATAGAAAGAAAAAAAAATGTACTTGAGTATTTAAAAAAACTTAAAGTCAGAGTACTCATTATGAAAATAGACGGTTAAGCTGGTTACGGTGGTGGTAAGCACCACCAAAGCATTGAATCATACTTAAAGCTGATTTTGTTTGCAACACATTATTCAGCAAAGAACAGCCGTTATTGAATAAAAAAAAGACACAATATTTATTTTTGAACCTTTGTGGAGTCGAAGTCCCCTGAGCACTTTATACAGAAGTCCAGTGCATCTACAATCCTGACAAGGCTGCGTGAGGGAACAAAACAAATAAAAATTCGAAGCGGTGTGAAGTTGCAAAAAGGGTTATTCAGGAAGTTGACGCTTAAAATAAAAAAAGAAAATACATTAACTCTTTCATACTTTTAACACAATTTGGGGCTTTGACTTTGAAGACGTTTGAAGCCTCTCTTCATACCACATGACTGGAATGAGGATAGTTACTCTGGCAGGTAGTTCTGATGAACATACATGGATGCAAAACCCTCACTGTTGCTGTGTTCGTAGTAGCCTACATGAGGTCGAGACTCTCTCCACAGTCCACCACTTCGGTCGACTTATAAAATAGTATTTGTGGTCAAAGCCCAGTTCAGAGAAGCTTCATCTCTGTTAAATCACAGAAATATTACTCCTCAATATATATTAATGTTATGTGTTTTAGCAATGCTATATATACTATATAGCAATGCTTGGGCCAACTTCAATGCTTCATGAAAGTCTGATTAGCCCATAATTAATTTGAATTGTTAAGCAAAGCATTGGTGACAAAAAATAATCTCTCTGAAGCAACTCATGCAGGCCGATCTACTAAAATATCTTCAATTCATTCTCAAAGGCTGACTGTCGATCGGTTGACAGGAATCAAAACTATCAGTTGTATGCGTCCTTAAATGGATCTCCATTGAGATGGAAACGGCCACGAGGTCCATCGGCACGTTATGACACATTCATCCTCACTTCTCAAAAGCAAATGTCAAGTGGGAGGGGAGAGGTGAGAGCAGAAATGTTTCTGGACATAAAAGGGAAATAAATACAACGTACTGTATTCATGGTTAATTAAACAATAAATACATTCAGGCTTGAATTAGAAGAGTCATTAAAATCCTGTTAAAATCACCTTCACTTCTTTTAACTCTTCACACCTTAGTGGTAAAAAACACAAGATATTGTTACATTCCTTTAGTCATTTGAAAGAATAATTTTTGACATTCAGTCTCCATCATCTTGACTTTTATTAACTCTCACACTCACTGTTTCCGTAGTTTAAGATGGTTAAGAATACCACCATGCCACCTGTACTTTTTCTGTTCGTATATTCAGAGTAAACAGGACTGATTATTCTTCTCAGCATATTTCCACACATCAGAAACACACTGTGAAGCTCATTAACTGTTCTGTTGTACAGGCTAGTTCAAGAGAAAGTAATCTCCAACACTGAATTCAGGATAGCACCGTGTCGCCTCCAAATTCTTGGCTCCTTCTGGTAGCACTTGCTTCTGCGTCTTTGCATGCAGCCATCTTTACATTCCGGCCAGCCCTCTGCCTGCATGTTGATTGTCCATCCTGAACATTTCTATTCAGGAAGCTCCACCTCATATGTCTCTGTCCCTACCTCTTGTGTCTGTCCCTCCACTCCACTTCCTTCATCTTCCTCTTTCTCCGTGTTGATCTGTGCCACTCCCAGTCGGTACAGAGCATCCCTGATCACGACCTCCCCTGGTTGGCAGGCCTTTACCACTTGGTTGATCTGCTGGCTCACGATGTCTCTGCTGGTGAGGAAATCTACCAGACGGTTGTAAATGTAGTAATAAGCCGTGTTGTCGAAAACCGCAGGTTGGTGCCGCGCGCGGCTGACCGAGTAACAGTCCTCCGAGTTCTCCGCGGAGTCATCCTCAGCTTTCCGTTCTTCACCCTCGTCATCCTCCTCTTTCTCCAGCTCAGCCATCAGGTGGACGTAGGGCTCCAGATCTCTGCAGAGGTCCATTGAGTGGTGCTCTGACGGAAGAGCAGGAGGCTCCTGGGCTGCTTCGGGAGGATGAACCAGCCAGCAACTAGATGATTTGGTGATGGGGTGGACCTGCTGGTTCTCTGCCACCGACGAAAGGTCAGCGCTGTACGGCTGCTCTTGTAGCTCAGCACACGACACAAACTAAAGACAGCAACACAGTATGAGCCTTTATCAAAGAAACAATTATATACATACAGTATGAGACAGTCTTCCTGATATAAATACATGTCCTGTATTAGAGGCTTAATCTGTGATTTCTTATACTGTATGTAAAACAGCCAAGCTCAAAATTCAGAAACCAAAATTGAATCCTGCTTCTACTTGTGCTGAATTGACAGATCTAACTCTAAACCTAAATTTGTTTAAAAAAAAGACTAATGTTTGTAAATACAGAGAAACTTTATATTATAATAAATTGAGAAAAACATTTCTGAAGTCACTCTTCACTCATATATGTAAACCTGTTTTTACGTTAAAATAAAACTGATCGGGCCTTGATTTTTTTTTAGTTTTGAATTCTAACCAGCACAAGTTAAGTTCGTTAACAGATGATTGGATTTCATTTCAATTACTCACCTCTGGCTTTTCGAAAGGGTCGGAGAAGCAGCCCTGGTTCCTGCCCCACATCTGGGTTGCCTGTTCTGGGTACTGCATGTCAGCACAGAGCGCCACCTGACGGGCACAGTCACTGACGTAGACTGGGGGCCAGTAGCGGGAGGACAGTAGCAGGTCTACGTGGTCTCGAGCCGTCTCTCCTCTCACCAAGTACTTAGAGCCGCACACTACCTGGAGACAGGTATGGGAGAGAAAAGGATGAGTAACACTAGACCCTTGAGATTACACAGGGGACATTTGAGTTTCAATTTCCTCTCTGCTTACCCAGACGCATGTCAATGCCAGACCTGAACAGGGCCACATATTTGTTTTTCACATATGACTGAGCTGCTGTTTTTACCTTGTGGGGGCAGACCTTGCACAGCTTGCCAGCGGTGAGGTGTGCAGGGGGTTGTGGGGCCGTGGAGAGGCCACCGTGAACGAGTGTGTACAAGGAGATCAGGGACGCCAGCAGTTCATTCTAACTCAGAGGGAGACAGAAAGTAGGCTTGTATTTAAGTAAGCTCCCACACAGATACGAGTACACCGAGGTGAGCGGAGATAAGATGAACACATTCACAGAGTAAGAAATAAGGAAATCATCTTTCAACCATTATAGCAAGCAAACCAACATGCTGAATTATCCTTGAGCGAGACAACACATTTGATTGTCTCTTTCTGTTTCTCTCTCTCTCACACACACACACACACACACACACACACACACACACACACACCTTAGTGGAGTCCGGGGTGATGCTCGCCGCACAGCAGTCCAGCATTGTTCTCAGCTCGTCCTCACTGTGATCTTCGACCTTGTCGAGTCTCAGCTGACCATCATGAATGAGGCGCACCAAAGCTGATGGATCTCCTAAAACAGATTTGACGTTTGCATCATCATGCTGGTATCAAACAAAGCATACCATCCATCTGAATGCAATCCTCTTTTGTCATCTCATTCTCTATGAAGCCATATCTCCATTATTTCAGACTCTAAACAATACACATCACTTTTGCTTCTGAAGATTTCACAGTCGCAGGATTAACGGTGGTTTAGAGGAATCCTGTACCTGAGGGCGGCTCCGTGTGTGACGGGACCTTGTCCTTCTCTGTGTTGATGACAGTGGGACTTCTCATCAGTGGGGGAATGAAGGGAGCGATGATAGAAGCATCCACTCGTGTGATGGGGATCTCCGAGGGGAAAGTCGCTTGCTCGATAGCCTCACTTTCCATGGTCAGCCAGAAGTCGTCCACGTGTACCTCATCCGAGACTGAAAACTCAGGCCAAGTAAACTGTGGACAGAATAAAAACAATATCTTTACAAGCTTACATTCTGTAGGTTTTACACGTGGAACACATACTGTATGACACCGTCTCTCCAAGTACGTTGTCGCGACTCTACTTTGGGCTTTAGTTTCCCACTCAGTTTCTTACGTCAATCTCTCACCTCCACATTCTTTAGCTCCAGCACGTTGCTTGTGTATCGCTGTGCAATCTCCAGTTTGGGGGCAACACCACAAATGCCGCAGATCATGTCGTTGTAATCGCGCACTGTCAGACACTCAAAGGCCCAGTAGCCACTCAGGAGAAGCTCTTGAATTTGAGACGTCTCCTCTGGACTCAGAGAGTGGACTGACGGACAGAAGATACAAGATGCAATATGTTCAAAGACAGATATTAATCTAACACAGTTGCAGGATTCATGTATGTAGAGTTGAATCCAGTGTTTACCAGGGTGATTGGGGTTGTGGTCCAGTATGGTCCTGGCTGCCTGGGGGGGGGCTTGGCCCTGTTTGATACAGGTCCTGATCTTAAGAAACAGGTCGATGCTTACTAGCAGTCTGTTCCCAATGTTGAACAAACCTGTCACAAAAAGAATCAACAATGAATTCACAGAGAAAGCCGACATCCGGCCATCCCACAGTTACGTGTTGATACAGTTCGACTGAGCATTGCTACCATGAACACAAGAGCAAAACTTATACTGTGAAGAAAACAGTATGGAAAGCTGCAGCCAATATATACTTACTGAGTCTTATACTAAGCAACACTAGTGATAAATTATGATAATGATAATAACAGTTTTGCATATATGTTTGCATTTTGCTGGGTCTGAAATATTTACTAGCCACATTAAGCAGCTAAATAACATAATAAGTTGGCATCTTAATCTTAAAGTTACAATTATGTGGCTGGTTTTCATCAGCACTCTCATAAAAACATGTACAACATTTTGAAAACATGAAAACAAATAAATTAGTCTTAGAGTGCAAAAGCGGGGAAATGTGTGACAAAAGACGATTGCAAGGAAAAGAGGACAAGTACTATTTAGTGAGATCTTACTGTACACACACTTAGTTCATAGTTGCGGTGCCCCCTTTTGGCCAATCAGCAAAATACTGAATGTAAATGATGAAAAGTCTTATCAGCAACACTTTTGTTTATGCAGAAGCTTCCACCATGAAACAATCGGTGTATTTCTGAAAATTATGAAAAAGAAGCGATGCCCATAATTCCCAGAAGTACAACCATAATTTGATTTGAGATATTCTGAACAAATCACTTCGAACATGATCGAGAACAATGAACCAAGAGTAAGCAAAACCTGTGAGGATTCAGTACTTGACACTTGATGAAAAACAGCTGTTGTAAGTGGTGGTGTTCACCTGGATGTAGGTCGGTGAAGCTGTGCAGAGCCAGACACTGGACGTTGAGACACACCTTGAGCTGAATAGTGGCTGTCTGGATCAGCGTCTCAGTCAGCAGCCAGCCATCCTCTTGTCCTGCGACGGTACTAGGATGTACAAGCACACACACACACACACACACACACACACACACACACACACACACAC